AACTCCAAAAGGAGGTGTACTGGAGAATCCTGAAAGTCAGGGTGGTCAGTCAGTTGGGCGTCTGACTTCAGCTCAGGTCGTGATCTCACGGGTCGTGAGTTTGAGCCCCACGTCGGGCTCTTTGCTGTCAGCACGGAGCCTGCTTTAGATCCTCTGTCTCCCTCTCTCTCTGCCCCTCCCCTGCTCAGGTTCATGCACACCCTCTCTCTCATAAAGCAAACAAGCAAACAAAGAAACAAATCCTACAGTTCAGAGCAGGGAGATACAGGGGCAGGAGATCCCATCCTGGATGCCGCCTGGGGCTGCTCCTCTGCTGTGTGACTGTCCCCCTTCACCCAGGTTGGGCCTCGTTCTTCTTTCCTGATGGATCCCATGGCGATGGTCTCTGAGATACCATCCAAATCAGAAATGCTACAACTCTTCCACTTCAAGAGTTGAGGCACTGGGTTTTCTAAAGCACAGCATCATCTCTCCATCTACACGCCTGCACCTGTGTCTATCTGATCGGTCCATATAACCACAGCCATACATAGATATGGGTACGAAGATATATCTTATTTGTGTATGGACTTATAGTCTAACTCATTGCATTGCTTAGTCTGGTCTTTCAAATACAGTTAAAATGTAGTAATAACTGCATCGTGTAATGACTAGAAATTGCTCAAATATTTCTGTCTGGATGATAATAAAAAAGGATAAGATCCAAATAATAGTGATAAGACAATGACAATACTAGTCACCGTCATTACCATCATCTGAGTGGTGGCAGTGTTCCAGCACTGTGCCAAATGTTTTATACATATTAGCTTATTTAATTCTCATAAATCTCTATATATTTACCTCCCCTCACAGATGAGAAACTGAGCCTCAGAAAAGACCAGAAAATTGACCTAAGACTCCATAGCCAGTGTGTGGTAGAGTCAGAGTTCCTTCCCAGGGAGCCCAGCCCCGGGGAAGGTGCTCCGAACCACTGAACGATACGATCATATTTCATGTTTAAGATCTTATCCGAGTAAGAATTTTACTTATCCTATGTAAGCACCAAACACCACAAGCTGCATTCAACACCCATTTGTTAGCATGGCAAATTGATTTAAGATGAGCCAGACGCCTTTTATGAATTCTTATTTAATATTTTATGCCTGCAATATACTCTAGAGGAGGGACTCTCGCTTTCTGTCAGCGGTGTGGATCCCTGAGATAGATCCTGGACACCTGATATCAATCGATTTCTTGTTTGGATTTCTTTTTAATCTAGGAGGTTCACACTGCAGTTATTTAATGTTCAAAGGATCCCTCAGAAACATCAGCGATTGATGTATATGGGTGTAGATGTATCCCTGGGTGTGATCTATACTCCCTATTAAGGAACGTTAAATCACACAATCAGATATTCCACCTAGAGTCTAAAGGTGAAAGAGACTATCTTCTAACATTGGCAGCATCGAGACGAACACATCGCCTGGATCGCTCCCTGTTAGTCGAAGACTAAATATAATGCCTGCTGCTGATTGAACTTAGGGAGTGAGATTAATCCAAAAATTAAATCTAGTTTGGCTCGAACAGCACACTTCTAGCATTAAGATAAATTCTCACATTTTTTGCACTTAGAAACAAAACTCAAGGACTGATAAGAAAAAAGGCAATTTAAGTCGAACGGTAGCATGTAGCAATCTTCCTAGATTGGTAAAGAAATGGGCAGCTGGGTTCTTCTATTTTCACGCAAAGATTCACATGCATAGCCGTGGCCATTTTGTATGGCAATACTCACACATTTGGGACATTCTAGGACTAGAAGTTTTATGTTCCTCTCTATAAACTTTGTTTAGGGGACAGGCTGGTGACAGATTTCTGTAGTTTTCTTCTTTATGCTATAAAAATTATTCATTCTTTAAATCATCATGGCAAAATGCTCAGACCACATCTAAAAAAGGATATGGTTGTACATATAAAAGTAATTATGAAATAAGGACAAAAATATGTGCTAAAACGCATAAAGCTGGCAATTTCTAAAGTGTAAGAACAGGATTTTTCATGTTGCACTATGCCACTGTACCTCAACCTGCCAGAAACCCCAAAACAACATTACTTAAATAATCTCAGATTTATTTTCCAGTTAATGATATCCCAAGGGTTTGGGCCTTGATTGTACAAGTGCCTCCAAGGTCACATCTTCTGTGTCAAGAAGAGTGATGAAATCAGAATTTTCCCCAATGAAATTCACCTCTGCTTTCCTCTCTGTATTACAGATATTCTTTGGGGGATACTGGAGAATTTCCCCCAGATACAAAAGCACAGGAAGGGCAGGGGGAGCAAGAATGTCACTGAAAGCATCACTCAACAGCCATATGACTTGTGTGCGCCTAGTGTTGACCCCACCCCCCCGCTCAATCCTTCCACTTTTTCTTGGTACAAGTGAAGCCAGAGATCCCTTATGAGACAAACCGTATCCAGAACTCTTCAACCCCCAGGATCATGGGTTGGTTTGGAGAGCTCTCCTCCCAGGTTTGGACCCCCACCCAAATTTCTATGAAAATCTGGCTGTTGCTAAGCCTTCATAGTCTGGGCCTGCCCTGCTATATTTTGAATCCTGAGGGGATACAGAACTTATCAAACCTCTTTATCAAACCTCAGTGCCAGGGAGGATGAGGATCCCAGGGGATCCCTGAGGATGGGATCCTCAGGTCCCAGAGGAGGGTATAAGAACATGGGCACCTCCCAAAGGAGAACCCAGGCCAGATTAGTCCCAGTTTCCAGAGCTCAGTGTATTGAATGTCACATCAGACAATTAGAGTTGCAAAAGATCATTGGTCGATGAGAAAAGACCAGGAGAAAGATACGTGTCCATGAGCAGACATAAACCTAACCTAGCCCTCCTCCCTAGGTAAACATTCCCCTAAGTAATTCCCTTTTAGAGACTCCTGTGGCTGAAAACTCCAAGGAACGCTTTGCCTCTGATCTGTGAAGGGAAGTTCATTCTGAGCGGGTGGTAGGGAAGTGGACTGCTTAATCCATGGGAAGTTTTCCACCACACGGTCAATAGGTGAAGTGCACCACCACCCGTATTTTGACACTGGTATTGCAACTTCTGTCACTCGTTCCTTCCTTGCCCCAATCTCAGATTGTCACAGTTCTGATGAACCTGGAATAAGTGAGACATTTATCATCAAGTAACAGATCCAGTATCAAGCCATCGTTTCCAGACACCTGCCTGGCAGGGGGCAGATCTCCCAACGCGGTGGCCCCACCATTCCGCACAAGCGCCTCACCACGACCAGTGCCTCGGGCAGAGGTTGTCTTACGTCTAAATCCAAGATAAAGCAGTAACCACCCAGCTCGTGCTGAGATGTTCTTTAAAGTGGTACCTCCTAAATACATTTAAGTTAATGGTGTGGCATAGAAAGAACACTTATCATCAAGGGCCATCTCTGTCCCTCATTACAGTGTGAATTCAGACAAAGCACTTGTAAGCACTTCAGTTTCCCATCACGGAGGTACTTATTATTAATGCTTATCTTGTGGGATCAATGCAAGAACAAGTGAGACTCTTGCGTTCATACTAACATTTGATTACATTATAAAGTGCCTTGGTGTCCGGCTGTTCTTACAAATGGTGCTCCAGTAGGTATTGGGTTCTGAGACTTCTAGAATACCTTCTTTTGCCTCAGCCCAATCCCAGGCCACATTACTAAAAGCCAACCTTATGTGGCAACTTAATTTTAGACCCTTCTCAAAGTTAACATGCAACCTTGTTAACGAATCAGATTAGAATAAAAAGGGAAATACATAAGAGCTCCACAAAGTCATCAACTAGGAGTTGGATGAGCAGTAGACTAAAAACAAAGCAGTCTCTCAATATGAACAGGAAACAGTGTCCCCAGGAGAGCTGCTGGCCTAGAGGAGGACACATCGCCTGGATCATTCCCTGCTGTGATTGACAGGATATGTTGCCTTCTCAAACCTTCACAGAAAAGAAACAGGAGCCCTGATTTCCCCATAGAAAATGATGAAAATGAGAGGCGTCTGGGTGGCTCAGTCGGTTGAGCGTGTGACTTCGGCTCAGGTCATGGTCTCACAGTTCATGGGTTTGAGCCCCGCGCCGGGCTCTGTGCTGACAGTTCAGAGCCTGGAGCCTGCTTTGGATTCTGTGTCTCCCTCTCTCTCTGCCCCTCCTCCGCTCACGCTCTGTCTCTCTCAAAAATAAACATTAAAAAAAAAATCTTTTTTTTTTTCAAAGAAAGAAAATGATGAAAATGATAAGCCCATGACTTTGCAGGCAGCAACCTTCTGTGAAAAGGGACATCATGAGCATTTCTCATCTATCCTTGCTGGTCCAAATGCACATACCTCAAGGACTTAGGACAGATCGTCACTGCATTTACTTTGCCGGCAACGAAGGCGGAGACCACCCAGCTCTCGGTTTTTCAAGAGTACTGTTTGCTTTGCTAATAGGAACAAGATTATTGTCCTTTACCATCAGCAACCAGCAACTAAATATTTAGATTCCAGGTCACAAGGACCCAACGTTACATTGGAAAGAGGCAGTAAACCTGATAACAGTAGCAACTGGCTCTTCCCCAGGCCTGGCTTGGTGGGATGTTGACCAGTGAGATCACCTGAACCTCCCAGAAAGCACGGTACTCTCAAGTGTGAAGGCAACTACCCAACATAAACATCTTAATTGTTTTGTCCATAATGATCCACACAAACTTTGGAGGTTAAAATTAAAAAGAAAGCCTCTTCAAGTAACCTGCAGTGGCTTAAAAAGTCAGAATGTCCATCCATATATGAGGGCGGCGAAAGTCTAGAAATGTGTCGTCCGATAAGGTGGCCACTAGCCATGTGTGGCTAGTTACCTTTAACTTTAAATTAATCAAAAGAAAAATTTTATATTCAGTTCCTTAGAC